GAGAAAAAAGGTTGATCGCACAATTAGTGTCTGAGTTGAACCCTTTCATCCTGCTAAAATTTTTTTATTCTTATTATGCCCCTAAATGTTTATTTATTTTCTAAAATACCTATGACCTCAGTTTCTGCTCTATGATCTTTCTTTTCCTCCTTATTCTCCCCCCTATCTGTCACTGTCCAAGCCCTAAGTTGCCACCTCCTCCATCTTATTGCCTCCTTCATTTTGTTGCCACTTTCAACTTCCGCCGCAACTGCTGCCGGTGTAAAGGTAGCTCCGATGATGAAGTTGTAAACACTAAAAGTACAGATCTACCATTGTAGTTTTTACCCAAAATCAAGATTGGATTTGGATTTTTATGTTTTATTCATCTTTCATTTGTCGATAAGTTTATTGCAGAAGAATATAAATTTTCAAGATTGACCTAGCCATTCAATCAGCGACGGATGTACACAGTAGGTAGAGGGACGTAGCCCTCACTGAGTTTTTAATTTTTTTAAGGTTTATTGAAAAAAAAAAATCTCAAAAGTTTTGAAAATTCAAAATTTTACCCGTATTAAAACTATTTTATCAAATTTGTCCCCACTAAATTAAAGCTCATATAAGAATTTCGTTATTATTTATCTAGTAATTCAACATTGATTCTTTTGGTGCTAAACAATTTTATTATAATATATTTATGAATTTGTTAAAAAAAGTAAATTAATTTTAGAGAATTTAAAATTATTAAATTTCAAATTCTTCCTAATAATTTATTTAGATTAATGTGAGGTGATCTTATAAGAGTTTTGAAACTTAAAGCTTATATTACTTAAATAGTTTTAACCACTTATTTAACAAGAAAAAAGTAACATATAAAATGTGAAGCAATAAAAAATTAAAAAATTTATTTAGATTTATATCTTCATTTTTCTTTTCATTATATGTAAGAAAAGAGACATTTTTATTCTTAAAATTATAATAAATAAGAAATAAAATATATTTGCTTATTTGAAGTAAATGATAAAATTAGAGATATTAAAAGTGAATAATAAAACTAGATATGTTAATTTTTATATTATTCTTTCATATATTATATCTATCTTTAAGAATTTTATAAGTAAAATTTTATTAAATTAATATATATGTTTCTATATTGAAAGTTGATTTATCTAAATAATATTTTGATTATATTTGTTTAAAATCATAAAATTAATTTTAATCATACAAAACTTATTTTTATGATTTTTTTGTGTATAGAAAATATGTTTTGTAATTTATTTTATTTGTAATTTTTTATATTAATTTGTATTTCAATAAAAAATTTTAAATTAATTGAAAATATTTACCCCCAACTAATCATAAATCTTGAATTCATCTCCGCATTCAATAATTGAAATATTTCTCTAATTATACTACTTTGATTACTACATCTTTCATTTGTGTTTGTTTGCATGGAGAGGATCGTGGGATTTTATGGAAGCATCGAGATTGGATAATAGGTTTAGCAGAAATCCAATGGTCAAGAAGGCTAACATTGTTATTTTTTTTCTTTTTTTAATCCCCATTCCATAGCCTTGATTTTTCATTTATTCTTTTTTTTTTCATTTTTCTAATTTTGAGGTTTTAATTGTGCATTTATTTAAAGTATAAATAAGTTTATATATGTAAACTATTTTTATATTTACGACATATAATTATTCAATTTTTTATTACATAAAAATCTAAATACATAATTTAATATAAAATAATGTATCACTATTTATTAAATCAAAATTTAAAGGTTAAATAATATTAAATTATACATTAAAACTTTTAAATATTTATAACAAAAATATTATTTGATAAAATAATTTTATTAATTTTCAATTATTTATTAATTTCACAAATATTAATATATACTATAAATTTCATTCATATGTATTTAATTAATAGTCTTATCATGGGTAAACTTAATCAAATCAAATTTTAGATTGATATTGTTTTAGTGTATTAATTTGTTTATCATAGTTTTTATTAATAAATATAATAAAAAAAATCATTTTTTACAATTCTTATTGTATGACACAAGATTTTTTATCATCACACTGAAATTTCAGACTTCATTTTTCTGTACAATAATTTTTTTTACCATTCTTGTGTTTGATTGAGTAAATCATACTCCGCCCTCTGCTCAAAATAAATGCAATTCCAAATGAACCAATGGTTAAAAAAAGAAAAAACGGATTCTCAGTAAAAAAAATGTATATTTTACTGCCAACAAGGTGCGGATTCATATGGCTTCAAATAAGAATCTTTTTTAACCCATTTCCCCACAAAATTTACTACTGTAAAAAAATAAAGTAAAATAACTGCTGTGAGAACAAAGCACAAAAAGAAACACAGAGCCTCATGTGTGTCCAACTAGTGCTCCATCTTTTTATGTTATCCCACCAATTTCTTTATTTGGTCAATTCACCAGCTTTATTTTTTACTATTTTATTTGTGTATGCCCACCAATAATCAATCATAGCCATTTATTTTGTAGGATCAGAGATTGGATTCTTAATCAAAGGGTTGAGAAGTCCATCCTAAACGGATATTGCAGTCTTGCCCTGCCATATATACTCACTGGCCTTATAAGTAAATTTTATAATTTATATATTTACATATATTTATTTTATATTAAATACATATAAAATATAAAAAATATCATATTTTAATTCTTTTTTATACATTAAACATAAAATATATTATTCAATTTTATCAAATTTATATATTTTTTAAAATTTTAAATAGTTTTATTTTTATTTTTTATAATGCCATCGTTTCATAATTTTTTTAAAATTATGATATACTTGCAAGCATGTCATCTACCAATATTATTAATTAAGTGTTAATATTTTAATTAAGCCCTTAATAAATTACCAAAAGCAACAGTATAGAATAGAGGCGTCACAAGAATGCAAACATCCAAGAAATAATTTTTTGAGTGTATTTTTTATTATTAATTAATTTTACAAACAAATAATTAATTAATATACCATTTTAAAGGAAAAGTTAGGACAATAAAGGCATGTCAGCCAACAAAAACATTAAAAAAATTCCTACAAAGAGCAGGAAAAGAATAGAACACAACAGCAAGAGAATTATAAAGCCATATCTATGAAAGAATTTCTATTAAAAAAAAAAGAAAATGTCTGTGTGAATTTGTGCAAAAACTACAAGAACCCAGAAAGGAAATATTAGGAATTAATATTTAATATATTGTTAGTATAAAATTTTAATTATATAAACAATGTTAAATATTGATATATGTATTATTTTTATTTTAAATTAATTTTTTAATTTTTTTAAAAATATATCTTAAAGATACTTAATACTATCCTAATTTATTAATTATTTTCATTAAATAAGCTAAAATGTTAGGTTATAGGTACATGATGAACCCACTCTAATTGGAACATGACATGAAAGGCGCACAATCATCCCAAGAGAATGTGTAGGCCATGAATCCGATGGAGCCAAAGGGTTTTAGGAAGGCATTGGTTTCCCAAGAAAACCAGAAGTAAGAAAAAAAAAAGTGTACTTTTTGTGGGTAGGGAAAGGTTATGGGCTCAACATTATGCATGGCTACACTTTTTTGGGGTTGTAGCTTAGAATTATTTACCCTAAATTAACTTTTGGGGAAAGGTTTTGGTTTTTTACTCAAAATGCTAGACAAGTTGAAAACATTAAATTCATTTTTAACGCTAGGATTCATGAGGTTATTGGCTCAAATTTGTAGAATTTTTGGGGATGAGTTGAAACTGAATGAGATAATTGAGTTACACCCTGTATGTATGAAGACACCTAGAAGGGTAAAAAAAAAAAATTAATTTAATCTTATACTTGTTAAATTTGGGAGTTGTCTAGAAATAAAACTTAATCAACATAAATGAATTAGCTTAAAAATTATTAAGAAATTTTGATGTGATTAATCACAGTCACAAAATTTTAAGTTGAAAAATCAAATTTATTAATAAAATTAATTTATTCAATTAAAATATTTAAAGTAAAATCTATTTATTTATTATAAATTAAACTTTTATGATATAATTAAGCCACATTTAAGATTCTATGATAATTTTTACAAAATCAAATTTGTGAAAAAAAAAAAACTTGTACAGCTTTAACGATTTTTCATTGATGTTAATTTGGAATATACTACATTATTACATGAAATGTAATTATTTGGTCTTGACCTAGGATTAAAAGATTTATTAGCCAAATTATAAAACAAATTATTAATTTTTACATTAAAATTTTTAAAGAAAATAAATTTATTTTCTCCATCTCATTTTTATTGTTCATATATTTTTTAAGATATTCTCAAATTATATTTTTTAATATTTAAAAATTATTTTTATAATTTTTTTACCTTCTAACATTAAAAATTATAAAATTTTAAGTTTATAAAAAATTATAAAAATTAATATTAAATATATTAAAATTAGTTTTTCTTTAAATTTCGTAAATGCCAACATTCAAATAATTTGAGATTGATTTTTTGTTTGGCATTTTGGTAATTTGGTTAAAACAAGAAGGGTATTGAGACAAACGTTACGTCAAACTCACGCAGCAGCCCGAACTCACCGGCCTTATGTCTGGTCTTAGTATTCAGACTCACCATTTCTAAATTTGGTAATTTTGTACATTCTTCGTATCTATTTTATATTAAATAAATATAAAGTATAAAATTATTTTATTATAGTATAATTTAACATAAAATATATTTTTAATTTTTATTAAATTTAAATTATGTTTTTTTTTTTACGTTTTTTTTCATATGATTTTCGTATTATATATGATCTATCGTATCTTCCCATGTTTATTGTTAAATATTAGCGAACAAATAAAACAACTTTTTTTTTATTTCATTTTGATTTTTCAAAAATTCATTTTTAATAATTTATTCGAAAGCTCAGATCAGAACGCGACAAACTCAAAAAAAAAATCCTATCTATCTGTCAGTGGCATCACCAGTAGTTTCGGCTAAATTAGCTGCTTTTTTCTTAAAAACCAACCCCTTCTCTTGAGTTAAATGTGGCGCACTTTAGAGGAGAAAATAGAAAGAAAAGAAAAGAAAAGAAAAAACCTGAAAGTGAGCACACAAAACTGAGAAAAAAAAAAAACGCTTCAAGTTTCAACTCAAAATAGTGACATAGAAAAAGAAGGAAAGAAATCCCAAAATCTCTCTCAACTTATTCTTTGTTTCTGTCAATTTTTTGTGGGAATTTTTATTTGTTGTTTTTGGAAGTGAAAAATGGAGCAAATTTTGGCTATCTTTAAGCTTGAAGCTTGTGGTATCATCTAGGAGAGAAAAAAAGCTATCTTCTTCTTTTGACTTTGTTTTAGTTGTATTTTTGAAAGATAGAAAAGGGGTTAATGGGGAGGGGTTGCAGGAGGATGATAGCAGGGAACTTGGATCCAGAAAGAAAAAGAAGTGGTGGGTTGAGAACAAAACAGGCTGGTAGAGGCTCTTGCAGAGGAAGTTAGCTTCAGCTGCTTACTTTTTTTCCTTTTCTTATGAATGTGGGATATTATAAAGATTGCATTTTGAGTTGTTTTTGTTGGTTGTTTTGCCTACAATATCCATATTTTTGTCGGTTGATATATATTTGAGAAGAAGGAAAAGGGGAGCAGCTATGGGTGGTTTGTTGAAAGAAGCTTTGAAGTCACTTTGTGGGGTGAGTCAGTGGTCTTATGCTGTTTTTTGGAAGATCGGCTTCCAGAATACTAAGTAAGTTATTCTTTTATTTTTTTTTCCTGGGGTTGTTTGGTTGTGGGGAAAAAGAAGGAAAAAGAAGAGAAAGTTGGTGTTTTTCTATATTGCTGGGCATGTTTTTGGTTTGGTCTGGTTACTAAGTGAACTGAAGTTTTACTCAATCTGACCTATGCTTGCACATTTATATGATTTTGCTAACAAAGTAGAAACATGATATTTTTACTTTTTCCCGTCCTCTCTCTGAGGTTAGATTCTATTTTTAGAATATCGAACTCTTTAAACTGAATTTATACAATTCCTTTTTTGGGTTAAAAAAATGAACTCTTTTAATGATTTTCTTGGCAACCAAACAGAGGAGGAGATCCAACAAAGATGAAAGTCTTTTCTTGGGTTTTTGGTCTCTTGAGGTGCAAAAACTTGTTCTTACACATGTTAAAGTTTGATTGGTAACCACAATCTTGTAAATTTTTTCTTGATTCGTAATCTGAATGCTGCTTTTCTTTTCTGTTTTTTGGAACTCTATGTTTTGGTTTGTTCTGTTTTGTCTTACAGAATCTTAGTGAAAAGTAGATTTGTATTTAAGTTTGACAAGAACCCTCTTTGTATTGAACCGGTCCACTGCTGAAAAATCCATTGATTCAGAATTTTGCATTCCTTTGTTTGATTCTGTGGCCTTGTTTTTGCCTGTTTTAAATAATGCTAAATTGCTATTTCTATCACTGTTTGAATAGAATCTGCTGTTACCTGCTTTTTGTCATGGTCTGTTTGGCTGCGGGAAAAAGTGTAGAGAGAAGAAACCGTATTAGAAACTGGAACAATTCACTTATTTATTTATTTATTTTAATTTATTGTCCCCAATAGGATGAGACTTCTAGGAACTAAGTGTACCATATGCATTTAATTTCATTGTTGTCTCCTTTAAGTTATCAACAACCAAAGCATGGTTTGGGATTCATGGCTAAACTTTTGGCATCACTTGCCTGAGCAGTGTCTGTATTAAGAGTTAAATGATTATTGTCTTCTCCATAAAAAGGAAAGAGTTTTTGCCATCCCGGTCTTACTGTGTATATTATAACTTGCAGATTAATAATTTGGGAGGAATGTTACTATGAACCTGCACTGTCTTCTGTGCCTCCATGCATTACTGGACTTCAGAACTCTGAATTACCATTTGGAGAGTGGGAGGGATGCTGGGGTTCTGAAACTTCCTCTCAGTTTGCTAGTCAACCATGGGACAAAGTCCATTTGCTGATTAACAAAATGATGATGAATAATCGCATTAACATAGTAGGGCAAGGGTAGGCTTTTCTCCATTTTCCATTTACAGAGTAATGTTATATTTTAAAGTTCTTTTCCTTGTTTTACACAAACATGTGAGACACTTCTTTTTGTTGTTTTTCAGGTTAGTTGGCCGAGCTGCATTTACTGGAAATCATCAGTGGATTCTTGCTACCAATTACATCACAGATGCCCACCCCCCTGAGGTATATTACAAATTATAGCCTCTGGTAATGGCTACAATAGAGAGTTCTACTCTTAATTAGGAAGAAATGCTGATTGTTCTGTATGATGAGTGCCTGATTTTACACATACTAATTTTAAAGGATATCCAGGTTCCATGCATCAAATGTTAAACCTGGCAAACTTTTTCTTGTTCTGTGCATCATCTCTGACTAATGGTAACAAGCTTTTGATGGGAACTGAATGCAAATAGATAAAATGTTCTCTCATGAATGTTGTTTTTAGGAAAAGCATAGAGGTGGTGGTTGTTTCTAAGATAACAGAACATAGCATGACTTAAAGTTTTTGTGGATGCTTTAGGTTCTAAATGAGGTGCATCTGCAATTTACAGCTGGCATGCAGGTTAGATAACTTCTACTCTTGCTCATTATTTTTTTATTATCTCTCTGCTTCATTGTTGAACTTCTATCCTTTGCAGACTGTTGCAGTTATTCCTGTTCTTCCTCATGGTGTTCTTCAGCTTGGTTCTTGTACAACTGTAAGTAATTTTTGTTCAGTTGTTCTGAGATGTGAGAGAACCATATCATTTGTGTCTCTGTTCATTTTCATAGATGTAGGTGACGTTATATTTAGGGCCATACAGTACAATATTGTGTCAGATTTGAGGCCAAACAAAGCAACATCATCCCTTTGCAGTTCCCTTTATGTATCATTGACAACAGATTTAAATATTACTCTTCAAGGGGATAGTGCTAATGCAGCAATTATTTTCTGACTTTGCTCCTTCCTGTACATGCTTGACATTGTAAAGCCAAAAGTATGTTAGTTGCCTTGAAGCTTTAAGTATTTTAACTGTTCTTCCTCCTTCAGATTATGGAGAACATGGGATTTGTGAATGATGTGAAGAGTTTAATTCTCCGTTTAGGATGCATCCCTGGAGCTTTTCTCTCTAGCAGCTATGGAACAAATGAATGTGTTGACAAAATTGGGATTCCCATTTCTTTAGGAAAGCCCATTTCAATGGATTCAGCTGGAATTTTTAGATCTACAAATTCCATGAATTCAGTTGCTGAAGGCTGCAACCAAAAAAGCAATTCATCCCAGGCTTTGAGGTTTATTGGTCAATCACCTACCCTGGTTAAACCAATTGAAGATAACTCACAGGGCACTGCTTCATCTCAATTGCCTGGCCTGGCCCAAACTCTGGTTAAATCTCATGATGATCACTGTGAATCAACAATCAGTCCAGAGATGAAGCCAAGGCTAAAATTTAAAAGTCAAATTGACTGTGGAGTTGTTAGTGCTGAAGTGATTCCTTCAAGCCCAATGTTGTGGCTGAACCCTCAAGTTTCTTTTTGCAACTCACAGTCTGGGTTCGATTGTCAGCCCATAATTGGTCAATCAATTGCCAGTCATAGCAGTTTAAAATCAGTGGAGCAACAGATTTTGTCAGATGCTGGTCTTCAAAATCATGTTATCGACAGTGTTAGTGCTTCAAATAGTCAAATGAAGCCAAAATCATTCCCAGGCATTGTTCCAAACTTGCAGAAGCTAGAAGATGATACTTTGTCTTGCACAAGACTGGCAGGGAGCAGGGTTCAGAATGTTAGTTCATCAAGAGTCGAGGTTCCTTTATCCATCTTGGCTAATCAATTAACTAGTACTTGTATGCTTTCAGGAGTTTCTAAACAAGGGCATGATTCTGAGGATTCTAAGTGTACTCGAGCTGATTTGGTTCCAAAGAAAGAGAGTATGGATAATTTTTTGTTCCAAGAACTTAATATTCGATTGCTTCATGCTGATGATGGCATGCCTTTTAGTGAGCAACTTCCAAGTGCTATTCATGATTGCCCGAAGCATGAAAGTAAAAGTTTGAGTACTAGATCCTTAAATGTTAAGTATGAAGATGCATGTGTCCAGCCTCCATCATGGGATGACTTGTTTGATGTGTTGGGGGCAGATTTAAAGGGTAAACTACTCGATGGGAAATGGACTAATGTGCTAGCTGAGGGACCAGATATGAAGATGCAAAATGGGGTTAAGGATACTTCAATTTTTAGGAATGCACAGAATGAGCATTCTGATATTTTTTCGGCTAAGGAAGGGAAATCAGACCGAGGTATTTACTCTGGGGTGGGTACAGATAATCTTTTGGATGCTGTGGTTTCTAGTGCACAATCTGTTGCCAAGCAAATATCAGATGACGACTTATCATGCTGGACAACATTGACAAAGTTCAGTAACTCATCCGTTCCTAGTAGTTCTCCCACCTTTGGCCAGGTTAATATTTCCAATCCAGTGCAAAGGGAGTTGCTTGGTGGCCTTCCTAAGTCTTTGTTGAAAGGAGGAACTCTTCCTTCTGGTTCTTATCGATCTGGCTGTAGCAAGGATGATACTGGGACTTGTTCCCAAGCTACTTCTATGTATGGGTCTCAAATCAGTTCATGGGTTGAGCAGGGTCATAATTCTGTGCGTGATAGCAGTGTCTCAACTGCATATTCAAAGAGGAATGATGAAATGACCAAACCAAATCGCAAAAGGCTAAAACCTGGAGAGAACCCTCGATCCAGGCCAAAAGATCGCCAGATGATCCAAGATAGAGTGAAAGAATTGAGGGAAATTGTACCGAATGGAGCAAAAGTAATGCATCTTTTAACCTCTTGATATACCTGCATCATTTTGCTCGCTATTGTTTTATTGAAGTATTGTCATTAATGTCCATTCTTTAATATGATTTAACAGTGTAGCATAGATGCTTTGCTAGAAAAAACCATCAAGCATATGCTTTTCTTGCAAAGTGTAACAAAGCATGCAGACAAGCTAAAACAAACAGGAGAGTCTAAGGTATGGATATTGTTTATGCTTGTAACCTAATTTCTCTATTTATCGAACATTAAGAAACAAATCTTTTTCTAGTTGATTGTGGTGAAAGATTTGCCATGTGCTGTGCTTTGCAGCTGCTATGTCAGATGTGTAAACAGGATGCAAAACTTGTTTGAGCATTCATCAGAAGTAGAAGCAATTTTTTATATGCATATTATATTCTTTCTGATGTCTTGAGTGCAATAAATATCAAATTGGCATTTTACTTAAACATTGTATCTATTGAAACTTAAGACTTTGAGATGTTTGGGTGGATGTCACTTTGATGTTAAGTCCTTTCAAAGAAAATTAGAACAAGAATCTCTTTAATGCTAAGATATCACTCTCGTTTGAGTTTGCAGATAAAAGAAAACTTTGAGGGAGGAACAACGTGGGCATTTGAGGTTGCATCACAGTCTATGATCTGCCCTATTGTGGTTGAGGATCTGAATCCACCTCGGCAGATGCTTGTGAAGGTAGGGGCTTTTAATCTTTTATACATTATCTGAAGTTGGCTTAGAGATAATTTATCTTCATTGTTCCACCTGTGTGACAGCATTGTATTGTCCTCTGACAGATGCTTTGTGAAGAACGTGGTTTCTTTCTGGAAATAGCTGACTTAATCAGGGGATTGGGATTGACCATCTTGAAGGGAGTTATGGAAACTAGGAATGACAAGATCTGGGCACGATTTGCAGTGGAGGTAAGATCTTGCCAAGGATCCTTGACCTTTCTGATAGATTTTTGTTCTGGTCAATCTTTCCAAAAGATTTTTCACCTGTTGTTCTCTCATGGAAAAAGCAATTTGATATCCATGTGCCTAATCTTTTTTCTATGTCGTGCAACATAGAGTAGTAATGGAAGTTGAATTTTGAAAAATATTATTCAGTCCAGTTACATTTCTAAACCTCAGTTATTAACGATGGAAATAATGAGAAGTTTGTAGCAATATTTCCCAGGATATTAAAGACTTTGTAGAGACACTGTACTTACCGTTATCTATAGACTAATTAAATATCATATTTATATGCAAAGGACAACTATATCCGTGCTTTACTCTAGAATGCCAATTTCCAACCACATCTGTCTGAGGTAAATTTAGCTAAATTATGCGGGGACTCGGAGCAACTTTCTGCACTTATATTATCGCGGTCCTCTTTTACTGGAAATAAGGAACAGTAACCACTTCCTGATTGTGGTTAAGAATACATTGATTGCAGTGCTGGATTTGATGACTTACTTTTGGAATCAAATTCAGCTATTGTGTCTTTTCCAACAAAATTCATACTTCATATGCATTTACCACACATATATAACTGTTAAATATATCTGTATTTAAAATAGTCAAGCAACTATTGTTGCATGACCGAGATGACCTTATATCCTCCTCATTTCTCATTGCACTCTTATGTTCCTCTATGTTTTTTATTGCAATAAAACACTCGGTATCTATTATTGCTTTTAACCTGGTGGAGGTGGCCTTTGAGTTACTTAAAAATCCCTTTCATTCTATTTATGTGGCATTAGATGTGGCAACTAGTGTTGCTACTTAGTGATATATGATATATGTTCTTACATGGGGCTTGTACCCATGTGGCATGACACTATGAGCTGGACTTAAGAAAAATGCAAAAATTATTTGTAGTTGCAATCTGCATAAAAGAAATGTGAAATTGTTTGTTAGTGAAAAGCTTATCCAACATTTAGTTTGAGGCATTATCAATACTAAAATTTTGGCCTTGATCAGGAGTGAAAACAATTCTTTGGAATGTTTCTATGTTGGGAGTTACACACTGTCAATAATTAGATTACGGTGAAATGCTAGCAAAGTAGTTTGTATCTAACTAGCATTTTGATTATGAAGAAGTGTTATATGTTTTCTTCATTATGATTTGTTTCTTTTTCGCACTACAAAAATACAGTAAGCTATTTCTTAACTTGCATGTTTGGCGTGTATATGCTAAGTCATTTGACAAGAGTTTCCTGTCCAGGCAAACAGGGATGTTACAAGGGTGGAGATATTTATGTCACTTGTTCATCTTTTGGAGCAAGCTGTGAAGGGCAGCACATCATCTGCCAATGTTTTTGAGAGCAACAATATGATGGTTCAGCACTCTTTCCCCCAAGCTGCCTCTATACCTGCAACTGGCAGGGCCAGTAGTTTGCAGTGAACCACCTTGCTGCCTGGTTTTCTGGTTTAGATATGTTAAGAGCGAGCCGCAGCTTTGCTTGCCATGACTAACATACAGCCTGTATACTTGGTTGGTTCTGATCTTGACTAACTTTTTGGTCTCCTACATGACTGACCTTGTTTTAGAGAGGGGGGATTTGTTTAGGTAGTGAAAGCTTGTCAACAAGTTTCAAATGGCCTGTTTTGAACATCCAAGGTTCCTATCATGTACCTTCTGAAGAAACAGAAAAAGAATTTCAGTCTCAAGGGTCCATTTAGGAAAAAGAAAAGGCTCCTTAGATATTTGGATTTTGTTGAATTCAATTTGATGGTTACTCCTGTAGGCATAAGGGTGGGCATCACAATAGTTCAGGTGTTGTGGTTCTCAATGGTATAGAGGAATGGGATGTCAATGAAGGGGAAGAGGTGTTTTGCCACCTGCCTAGGGACTGCATTTTGTTTGCTTTTTCTTTCTCATCAACTGCCCTGGTTTCTTTTTTCTTGAGTTAGGAATGTTTAATATCTTGTGGCAGGACTGGAATGTTTACTTTCTGCAAATCTTTGCGGTTGCTGAATGATCTCTTTGGTTTAATAGCATTGTTGTTGTAAACGTTTAATTTTATCTGAGATTTTTTCCGGAATCGAAAAATGGGCTTTGGCCGGAAAGTGGATCCGATTGGAAAGTTTCAGGCCTAATAGAAAAAATTTTCATTTCAATTTTTATTTGATTTAATTTGGTGATTTATTACTATTATTATTTTTAATTTTTAAAAAGTCACAAATAAAAAAAAAAAGTAAAATAGGTCAAAAGTCCAAAAGAATATAAAAAAAAGCTTTGAAAATTTCTTTGGATTTGGGGTTCTTGCCGTGACTGGGATTGGTTTTTGGGTATTTTCCTAGGTTTGAAGTCTGGGTTATTCTGATCTAATTTAAAAGTCTCTCTGAAATTTTTAAGACTTCTGAAAATTTTTGAATTGTTTGGAGTGGATCTTTGGGTTTTGTTTTTAGGAAATTTTTGTTGGATTTCTCTTTTGGGAAATTTTGGCTTTTTCTAGGTCTAGAGTAAAGTTTTGTTTTTGTTTGTATTTTTTTTAATTTAGGTATTTGGGTTTTTTTTTTTGTCCCGAGTTAGATTCAAGATTCCAGAAATTTTCTGGATTTTTTTAGAAAACGGTTGAAATTTTTGGTGTATTTGAATTTTTTGGTGAGTTCATGGTGGTCGGTTATGGTGGTTTTTGGATTCATTTAAAGATTCCGCTAGTTGTTTGAAGATTTCGACATCGAAATCTTGATTTTTGGTCAGTTTTTGGAATATCATGAATTTCATGATGGAAGTCTTAGAGGGGAAGTTTGAAGTCTAAAAGAAAAGGCTTGAAAATTGCCTTTTAGACCCAAAGAAAATGACACCGTTTTGCAATTGTTGACCCTCGTGGGATCCGAGCGTTATTTGACCTTCAGCGCATGACCCATTGAGCTGTTCTCTTCAAGCCGTTAAAGTCGAGAGATGCTAAATCAGTCGGGCCACCAAGTTAAACTGTTTTTTTGTGTTTCTAGTCGAGCTTTTTTCAGGAGCTTTTTTCAGCCGTCGAAGCTGAGTTGATCTTTTTTGATATATTTATTTATTTATTTTATTTATTTCAATTGATTTTTTTTGTCTAAAAATAAAAAAAATGTTTCTCTAAAAAATAAATTTATGAATTTTATCAAACTATAAAAAAATCTTTTAATGGATTTAAATTTATAATCTCTAAAAAATAAATTTATGAATTTTATCAAACTATAAAAAAATCTTTTAATGGATTTAAATTTATAATATATATATATATATATGAGTTTTATCATATTATTAGAGAATTTAATAATTCAAATTTTTTAAAAAATAAAATAAAATATTTTGTTTTAATTTTATCAAACTATTAGAAGATTTAATGAGTTTTCATAAAAAAATATTTTTAATCTTATCAATAGATTAAAAGATAATTTTTAATAAAAAGTTTTATCAACAGATTGAAGACCATTTTTGGCTATAAACTTGGCTTATAGATATTTATTTTCAGAAGTAAAATTAAATGAATCTGATGATGGAGCTTTTTCAGAGTGAGACATTAGTCTCCATGAATACTTCTGAAGTGAAAAAATTATTTTAAATTGCTGCTAAAATATTGGAGTAATTTTAAGATCAATTTTTAATAATTAAATCATTTGACAAAATTTCAAATAGATTTCATGGCTTGCATAATTTGAAATCAAACTGATATCATCTTTTAGATAGGCGTTGTGAAAGTACTATAACTTTTTTTACGCTTAATTGCACTGCTGAACCTAAAATCTGATTTCATAAATTATAGTTTACTATTTAAATATACTTAAGTTAATATTAAATTTTTTTTAAAAAAATGAGATAGATTCAGTTAGGTGGTTAATTAAACCTAAACAAAAAATACTTACGACAATTCTTAAAGTCTATATTTAACAATAGGTCTACGGATCTATATGTTATGACAGTTTGATGACTCTATTTGAGACGTTGAGAGTCAGACTAGTAATTGATTTGTTATTATCTAAGCCTAATTTAATAAATTTAAGATTTTTTTTGTTTATTGTTTATATTTTATTTGTTTTATTTATTTATTCATTTTATATATCTGTCATTTATTTACACATACATAATATAAGCTCTACACTCGAGTTCTATCCTTTAGGAGGGAGTAAAATACTTATGCTTTCATGAGATTTCATGCCTCCACATAGATTAGCAAAAATTTTCCATTCAAATTGAACTTTTTTTACTTATAATCTATAATGGGTAAGCATTAGGATGTCTTACTAATCTATTATGGATAATAATGTAAGGAGTAATTTAAGAACAATTAGACTGTCAAACCTTTGAACTTAGCCTGTAAATAAACCCTAAGAGTTTGAACCTAGGTTATAGCCATACATTCCCTTGTGTTAAAACATCCTAAATAGGACATATGATAAGATATTTATTCTGCTTGAAAATTTATATATTTTCTTTGTATTTGCATAGTAACCCTTTATGTTATTTGTTGTATATATTATTCTTTGTATATATCATGTTTATTAACGTTTTTCTTTTATTGTATATGCATGCATTAACATCATTAAATCTTTCTTATTACATTCGTGCATTTTTGCATTTAGTCTAATGCATAATTGGATGATTCCATAAATATCACTCTAAATATGCATCCTAATTGTGGTAAATCAAGGTTCAAGGATAGCTCGACTAATTCGCCACTAGTTTAGTACCCGAGCTTGAGTAAGACAAATAGAGCAAGAAAATACAAGCCGTGTTGAGAAGTTAGAAAAGGCTTAAGAAGAAATAAAAAGGGAGTTGAACAAAATCCTTGAAGCATTAGGCAAGTTGAATAAAAAAAAAGACTATAGAAGAAAATGCTAGACCTAGTGACCATCCGTTACAGGATATTATTGATTCTCTGTATCCTCCTAGTCATGGCCCACTTCTGGCCTAATCCATTTAAGGCACTTCATCACAACAATTCATATTCCCTACAGGGTATACTTACATAGGAATATCATTTGCACTAACTCAAGGACAATTTTAAAGTTTTGCTAATCTTATCTTTATTGAAAAGTTAGTAGAGCTAGTCTCGATCCCCAACTTAGGTGACCTCAAGGAGAATAAGAAGCTGAAATTGAAGGTGATTGAAAGTTTGAAAGACTTTAAAGCTGATCACATGATGAACATGTTCGAGAAGAGACTGCGAGTTGTGAAAGGCATTTATTTTTACGATTCTATAGATGTTGCTTGGCTTTATCTAGTACTAGGTATTGGAGTTTGAGAAATATAACAGTACAAAATACCTCATCACACATGTTACGATGTACTATCGTAAGATGACAACTTATGCTAGTAATGAAAAGTTACTCATGCATATATTCTAGGACAGTTTAATTAGTTTTGCTACAAGGTGATATGTCTAGTTAGATAGGACCCACACCTAATCTTGAAATGATTTAACCTATTTTTTTATCAACCAATACCGTCATATTATAGATATAGCTCTTGATTACCTTTTTTTGCAAAGTATGAAAAAAAAGGCAATGCAGTTTTTCAAAAAATATGCCTAATGATTAAAGGATATGACTACTTAAGTTAACCTCCTCTGATTGAGAATGAAACAATTAACTTATTCGTAAGCACCTTAAAGGTACCCTATTATGAGAAGATGATAGAAAATGCAACAAAGAACTTCGCTAATATGGTGATCTCAGGGGATATTATTGAAAATGCCATTAAGAGTAGCAAACTTAAAAAAAGAGAAGCCAGCAGTGCCAATAAAGGTAGGATGCCTAAGAAGAAAGAAGCTGAAGCTCCAGTGGTGAGTTTTGAGGGACAATAATTCAAAAGTTATGCTCAATATCTACTATATGTACATTTTGCTTACTACCCGACACTCAATAATATTGCATAAGGTCCTTACCATAAATAACATCTAACCAAGGCTTTATTAACTAGCCTTTCAAGTATCTGCATATGAGCCTAATCCTCTTATTACATTAGTTTTAAGGCCTAACAATCAAGCAAGTGATTTGAGAAAATCCAAAGGCAACCAAGAAATAGCTCACATTGATTCTATCACTATAATCTATACTGAATTATTCGTAGAATTAGTCAAGAATGACCTAGTATCTCTAGTTCTTTTAAAACTATTGAAGCCACCTTATCCTAAATGGTACAATGTTAATGCCACATGTGTTTACCATAATGAGAATATGGATCACTTTATAGAAACTTGCCTTGCTTTCAAGCATAAAGTGCAAAATTTGATTCAAGCAGGCTCAGTGAGTTTTAACGAATCAGGGGAGCTAAATGAACACAAAGGCTTTTTACCTGATCACCTAAGGACATAATTTTAGGAAAGATATGAAAATGTTGACTGAATTTGCTTATTATCTTAGGATTGCTTAAGAATATAGATTTTTTTATGCACTTAAATTTCATCTTATTTTTCATCATTTTAATCAAAGTAGCGAATATAATGTATTTTTATGACATTTTTTCTTTTTTATTAATCATTGTTATGTACTTTTACTTTCTTATATCTTTTTTCATATCCATTCTTTAATTTCAAATAATGAATGTTCATATAGTCATGATAATAACTTGGGATTTGATTTTGAAAACATCATGATATGATTGATAAATTGAGATTGTTGATTCATTAGGATTGTTGAATAAAAGAAGATAAATCTGGTAAAGAATTTTGCTTAGCCTATATTTGGATTGAGGTAAAGAGAGAGAAATGAAAGGAATGGAAAGGAAACAAAAAGAAATAGGGAATTTTTTTCCTTGTTTGTATATAACATAAATAAAAATAAAAGAAATGAAGGTATGCTTAGCTTCCTTTCGTTTCCCTCAACTTTTTTCATTTTTAATTACCCCAAATTAAGGGAAAAATAAGAGAAAGGAAAATAATAAAAATTTTAAAACATAAAATAACTGTTCTATCCTTATTAATTTCTTTAAATTAAAAGTGTATAAATTAAAAGTGTTTGATTTTGAACTCCAAAATTAGATTGAGAATATAAAACATCGTTACCAATAAATTTATTGTCTTTAATTTTTTTCCTTTATTTTTATAAATTTCATAAATTTTATTGATGACTATTTTTATGAAGAAATAAAGAAAAATTGAAAACATGAAATA